TTTTGTCTTCACTGACGCCACATCAATCTCAGGGCCCACCATGGCCATCTCAGGGCTGGCCAGGCAGGCAGCCCAGACAGTGAGATGCCTTGAGTCTCTGGCTGGCTGAAAGGGCTGTTCGGGAAGAACTGCCTTTATCTAGATAGTACTGGCTAGAGGAAAAGAGGAGATCACAGGTATAAAGAAGAGGAGTAGGAAAATAATAGCAAAGAACTAGGGAGGAGATCAGTAGCAGCAAGGGGAAAAGGTGGGAGAATAACAGGAAGGTGAAATCGAGTTCTTATGTTGCTGCTAAATTTGATTTACATCCTCATAGGGTTATCTGATCTCTAGCTGAAGACCTCAGAGGTACAACTCTTTCATCTTACAGATGACGAAATTTACACCCAGAGGAGTTAAGTGAATTGGCCAAGATATAACTGAGGCAGAATTTGAACTCAGGTCTTCTACCTTGAAAAAAAGAGTGGTGGTGGAAGATAATCTAAATTTATTATGGAAGGAATTTGGTGCTGTAGAACTGGGAGTTGAAGATGATGTAATCCTATCTCTACTACTTAGTTTGTGACCTTGGGTAAGTCAACTTCTCCAGCCTTCAGTTTACCTGTCTGTCAAAGGGGATAGTGGAACTTAATAGATTCTAAGGTCTCTTCCAGCTCTAAATTTATGATCCTATGATCACAAAAATCAAATTTAGTAACAATAAGAATTCAGTTTAGCATCCCTCTCTGTGTGTGGGGGTGGATTGTGGAAGGGGGGGTGTGTTGGACTATATAACTTCTCAGGTCAGTTCCAGTTTTAAACCTATGAACCTCTAGGCCAGGAGTTCTTAACCTGAGGTCCATGCATTTGGTCACTAAAATATTTTTTGATAACTATTTCAATATATTCAGTTTCCTTTGTAATCTTATGTATTGAATACATTTAAAAATCTCATTTTGAGAAGGGTTCCATGGACTTCATCAAATTGCTAAAGGGGTTTGTCACACAAAGGGATCCATAACATATGCCCTAGGGCAAGGGGCCCTTGATCTCGCTTGGAGTTGATTATGCTGAATGAAGAAAAAGGAGGTATCATCCTGACCTGCATGGAGCGATAATGCATTATTATTTTATGCTGTCCAATTAGTGTGGTTTTGTTCATGCAGGACATCTTTCCCCAGACACAATGACTTCTATATAGCTCAGTCTTAGAGAGATGCCTGAGGGTCAGGTGGGTTAACCGATTTACACATGATCTGATTGCTAATAACCATCTAAGGCAGGATTGGAACCCAGGATTTCATGACTGTAGGTCTAGTATTTTATCTACTATGCCAGACTACCTCTCAATTACTTAATAATTTATAAAAATATAATAATTTACATAATATAACTTGAAATAAATTATAATTTTTTGGATTACAATGGATTTAATATATGAATTAGATAGATCTATAGGGATTATTGTTGTAGATATTATTTTCCATTATTTTGAATTTTGAGATGGCCTCATAGGAAAACCTTCCCTGCTTTGAAGGAACAAACCTGTGTGTATGTGTGTGTGTGTGTGTGTGTGTGTGTGTTGTACATTTAACTCTTCTGCAGAAAAATAGATGTAACCAAGTGGCTTTTGCACCCCAGAAAGGACTTTCGGATTACAAACCTTTATAGCTCCTCTGGAATAGATCAGAAAGTCCTTGTGAAGATTAAATCTGCAGAAATAAAGACTACCCAGAGGTGGCGCTCTGGTTAAAGTACACCTGGATTTTGATTACTGTGTACTGATTTGCTCCAGATGCCTCTGAAGAGACATCGTTAACCATTATCTCTTTTGTATTTATGCAACCACAAGCTCAGCAAACAAACATCTCTTGTAAAAACACTTCCCTCCACATTGTGAGTGGAAATATTACTCCTCAGACCAGAGGGATTGAACATCCTTCAATCCAGGAGCAAAGCAGGAAGTCCCTTTTAGCTTGCTTGAAGAATCACAGAAGCAGCCACATCTGCCTGGACCTTTCCAGTAACTTAACTGGTCCTCAGCGGTTGGCCAGTGAAACCCCGGACGGGGCTTGCATTCTCCCCTTATTGGAGAGAGTTTTGCTTGAGAAATATACCTGAAATATGTTTTTCATTATAGGCCTAAATTTAATTGTACCCCCATCATGAACTGGTGTTATCTCACTTTTGTGCTGGTAAATTATTTACATTGGAAAAACTGAGTTAAGAAATTAAGATCTGCTACTTTGATGTACATAGAATTCTCTCTTTTGAGAGACAGTCACAGAGCGAATGGGAGTTTTGGTTTGGAGATTTTAGGGAGCTGTCTTAAATTTCTACATCATTCAACCTCTTAAAATCACATTGCTGCCCATTATAACCATGGCAGAGTGAACCATGGAAGACCTGAGCTCACTGTCCCACCTCTGACACATATTGACTATGTGAGCCTATCCATGTGATTCCATTTTATGCACACAGATTTTAATGTGCTGTATTATCTCATTAGAATGTGAACTTTCTGAGGGCAGGGACGAGGCATTTGCATTTCTTTCTATCCTGAACACTTAGCACAAATGCCAGGCACATAGTAAGCTCTCAATAAATGTTTGTCAACTCACTTACTAATCTCTAACTCTTGTAAGACTGTCAATTGCGGAGAGGATACCAACCTGAGGGCACTTCCTCAGTCCAAAGTAAAGGAATTAATATTATGAGTTTTGATACCAATGAACAAATTTCAACTTCTGTGATATTTTAAATTAATTGAAGAAAGTTAATTTAGATAACTGGTAGAACTTTCTGTATACTTCGCAATATGGTATAATGCAAAGTATGCCAGATGAGGATTCATAGGACCTGGGTTTGAATCTGACCTCTGACATTCACTATTTATGAGCTTGGGCACTTTTCTGGCCCTCAGCTTCCTCATATGGAAAATGAAAAAGTTGAACCAAATAACTTCCCTTTTAGCTCCAAAACTAGGTTACTGAAGTTGTTTATTTTAAACCATTTTCTGCTGTTTTGGGTGCATAGTCACCATTCAGATATCATTGCTATTTCTTTGGAGCCTGAATTTTGTAAAACTTGCAGATAGTAAAATCGTGGCTTGAGAAGAAAGTCCTTCTAACTGGGTTCTTTGGTCAATGTTCTTGTCTTCTCATCAGAAACAGAGTATGGAAGAGATAAATTTATCCCACTGGGCTGATTTCATTCCGTTTCCTTAAAAGGATGATAAGAGGTTATAGTCCAAAGGGAAATTACCATCACCTAGTCCTATCAGAAACTGAGATACAGAGGGGTAAGAGGCCTTGCCTAATATCACTTAAGCACTGTGAGCTCAGGAGTCAGACCTAGGTGTCTGACACTAAGGCCCAGACTCATCTACTAAACCACAGCCTTTGTCCTTCCACAGCGATTTTCCCAGGACCATCCCTCCGTAACTTTCTACTAACAATTAGACCTAACATTGGCCCAGCAAATGGGACTTTTATGACCTCTTTTGCAGTGTAAAGTCGAATCCTGAATTGAAACTTTAGAAGCTGACAGCAGGAGGTAGAGGGAAGGGGGACCCACTAGCAGGTTCTCTGACTGTGGGTGTTCCTAGGCTCTAACATGCTGAGAACATTGCCTCCAAACACATGATTTATATTGAAAGTGAGCTTCCTTATTCTCTAAAGCATGCGTGATTGCTAATCTGGCCTTATTGTTCCAAACTTTGCTTCTGGATGCCTGGCTCCTCTCCTCCTCACAGCAAGCTGGGTGGCAGGCTAAGGATAGGCATGCTCAGCTGTGGCCTCCACAAGATTCCTTCAGCTTCGTCCATAAACGCAGGATCATTAGTGAGTATTCCCTGAGAGCCTACTATATGCCTTGGTTTATGTTTGGGTCAAGGGAGGTTAAAAAAAAAATTTCCCCTCTGAAAACTTATTTTCTCGTTAACCAAACTTCCCTTTAAGTTTCTGAATCCCGAACATCCAAGCTAACAACTGTGTGTGTGAGAACTGCTCCCCTCCCCCTCCCCTTCCCCCCCCCCCCCCCCCCCGCTCCTGGGACAACAGGAAAACTACTGTATTGGAGCTTGAGGTCACCCCCCTCGCCCGTTTAGGGGGTAGGGAAGTGGCTGCTGTGAGAGATGCTAAAGTTTTCCCAGGGCCTCGACTGGGAGTATGGGGCTGGCCCCGAAATCCTTGAGCACAAGTAAGGGTCCCTGGCCAGTGTGGGCAGGTGAGAGACCACTTCCAGCCTTCTTCCTTCAGTCCTCTGGGCACAGCGAGCATCCAGCAGCAGCAGCAGCAGCAAAGGGAGCAGCGAGGGGCCCTGTGGTCGGCTCCGGCCGCTGCTGGCGTTTCCCACCTGATACTGCCCTTTCCTTTCGCCCTGTTCCCTCCACTTCTTCTCCTCCACCTCTCTCCCTTTGCTCCCTCCCCTTCGCCTCCCCCCTCCCACCCCCGCCTCCGGTTTCAGTCATCCCTTTGTCCTCCCCCGGATTGGCAGGTTTTATTATTCCGCCTGAACAATCCGGCCGCGCAGTGGCTGAGGGGCGCTGACGTCGGCGGCTGAGCTGAAGAGTAGTTGGGATTTTGCTCTGTCAGTAACACATGTGTAAGAGCCGCGGAGGGAGAGTGCGAGCGGGCGAGGGGCCAGCGCCGCCTTCGAGCCGGGCAGCGGCAGCAGCAGCAGCAGCAGCACGGACAGCAGCAGCAGCGGCAGCCCTGCTTCGACCCGGCTGTCGGGCTTGCCCCCAGCTCCGCTCGCTCCACTCCTCGTGCTTGCATTCCTGCGGAAGGCTGCTCTGAGTGGCCTGCGAGGGACTCCGCCTGCCTGCCCGCCCGCCCAGCCACCCAGCCGCCCGCCCGGGCTGTTGTTGTTGTTTCCGCTGCTGCCGTCGCTTTCTGGATCTCAGCAATCGCCGCCGCCTCCGCCTCCGCCAGACCAGAGCGAGTGAGGGAGGGAAGGAAGGAGGAGGAGAAGGAGGAGGAGGAGGGGGGGCCGGCAGGGCGGGGGGGGGGTGCCGAATATACAAAGTGAAGCCACATTGCCAAACTTGCAGCAGCGACTGCAGCAGTCGCCGCCGCCGCGCCTGAAGCCGAGCAGCTCGCGGGGGCCCCAGAGCTAGCCAACCAGCCAGCCTTGCAGCTGCTCGAGCGAAGCTGGAGGAGGAGGAGGAGGAGGAGGAAGAGAAAGAGGACTGAGACTGAACCCTCTGCTCCTGGGCCGGGCGGCCACTTCACTGGGGGGCACCCGACCCACCAATAGAGCCGCGCATTAAAAAAAAGAAAGAAAGAAAGAAAAAAGATTACCTTGTCCCACCCCCTCCTCCTCCCCCCTTCCACTCCACTTCTGCAAGAAGAACTCGCCCCCTCCCTCCCTTCATCCATCCATCCATCCATCCATCCATCCATCCATCCATCCATCCATCCATCCATCCATCCATCCATCCAGCTTCATCAGTCCACCAGCCCCGGGGAAGCCCAGCGAGCGGCTCCACTGAGATCTCGCAGCCGCCGCCGCCGCCGTTTTTTTGCAATATAGGGGAAAAGCAGGTAAGCGGACTTGCTGAGGAGATGAGATGGGGCGGGAGGGGTGTGTGTGTGTGTGTGTATGTGTGTGTGTGTGTGTGTGTGTGTGTGTGTGTGTGTGTGTGTGTGTGTGTGTGTGTGTGTAGAGAGGGTGGGGGGGAGGGCTTGGGGGTTGGTAGCAGCGGGGTTGGTGGTGCTGGTGGCCCGGCGACCGGGGAGGGGGGTGTCCTGTACGGTGGTTGTTTTCTTTGGCTGCTTTCCCTTCACCGTCCCAAATTGCAAGTAAACAATACGTCGGCTTAGATAATGAGAGAGTCTGAAACTATAGAGGAAGGCAGGCTGGGGGGCGGGCTGGCAGGCGGGTGGACCGAGCAGGAGGCCGGCAGGCCGGCAGGCAGGCGAGCACCAGGGCCGTCAGCTTTGTAGCGGTCCCTGCTTTACAAAAGGGCTTGTTCGAAGAAGAGGGCTTGGTTGGGGGGGGGAGCGCCTTTCCAGCGCAGAAGTGAAAGGCTTTGCCTGTTTCGGTTATGAATTGAGGTAGGGAAAAATAGTCTTGCCTCCCTCCTCCCCCAACCCCTCTTCAACCCCCAGTAAACACTATTTTTGAAACAGTGGCAGAAAGGATCAAAATGGGCAGGGTTTTGTATTGGTGTCTTTTTTTTTTAAGAAAAAAATTCCTTTTGGCTTATAAGTCTTTTGTTTCAATCCAGGAGAAATCCGGTGAATCACCTAATTAAAATCAAGACATGAATTAAGCATCCATTTTTGTACTACAAATTGCCAGCTCTACGCCTGTCCCTCCCTTGGTCTCCATTAAAAAACACCAGAGACGTTGTTAAAGGGGGGCTTATTTTGCCTCTAGCTGCCAGTTCTGCTTTCTGTTTCACTGACTCTATCCCAGGACCTAAATTGCTCGGCTATGTAATTACTAGAATATAAGCCTATTTAACTTAAAAGCTTTTTTTTTTTTCCAACTCTAAATGAAACTTGATGAGGGCCCGTCCTTAGTTATCTGGGGAGTCAGTTTCTGGTCAGTCCTAGATTCATCATCTCTTTTAGATTTAATCAGCATTAAGGTATTGCTTGTCCTTAAGAGCTTTAGCTAATGGGGTTACTGGATGCTTTTGTCGGTGTAATGTTTCCTTCAAAAAAAATATATATGTAACAGACATAATATACAGACACACACACACACACACACATAAATATATATTACTTCTCACCAAAGATTCAGGATAAGCAGCGTGGAATCTCTCCCCGCCTCTCTCCCCCTCTCCCCCCTTAAAGGAATTCAAAGCGATTAAAACGTAAAGGGAAACAGTTTTAAGACTCTGGGCAGGAAATGCAGATTCATTTGGGTTAGGGCTGAAATTGTAACAAAAAGCAATTCCTCGAGTAAATGCATCAGATAAATCAATTTACATAAAGGTATGATGCATTCGGATAAATGCAATGCTAATGGGTTTTAGAGTGGTCCTGTTTCCAAAGTCTCGGGGTTTTGTTACAGCTTAATTGGTGGAGTTCTTTTTCTGGTTTATTGTGTGGTCACTAGAGACACGTTCAGGGACGCTTTCGGAGGAAATGTGTTTAAAAATCGGCCTATTTTAGGAACCGGGGCACTTGGTTTTTGGTGCCCTCCCCTCTAGCCAGCCACCAAGTTGGGCCAGGGGCAGGCAAAAAAAAAAAAAGTTCGCCGTCTCTCTTCGGAGGTATCGGTGTGAATGCCTTTAGGAGATGGCCCAAAGCCTTGGTATGAGTACACACACTCGGCTTACAAAGGACAAAGACAAAAACATGCTGCTTAATTGGCAGTAAATAACTTGATCTTTTTATAGTATAAGTGACTGGAGGAGCACTAGGAGTTTATTGGACTCGGGATCGGAGGCCACAAATTAATCGGTTTAGTCTAAGCTTTATAAATTGATTCCTATATTATCCCCCAGTTGCTGCCTCTCTCGTGGCATTCATTTAGAAAGTGTGGGGGAATTTTTTTAAAAGCCGTTTTTGGTGACAGCCTGGCTAGCTCGAATTTAACTTGTGTATCCCTTGATGGTTCTCAGATTATCAGCAAAGTTCTTCCCTCCTCCTACTTCTTCCTACCCCCCTTTTTTTTTTTGATGGAACAAAGCTTTAGCATTTAAATTACTGATCAAGGGCAGATTAGCGAGACAAAAGTGGAGTGTGTTTGTATAGGAAGTTAACAGGCGTCCTAAAGTTCAATGATCTATTATTCTGGCCGGTGTCCTGAAAACCCAGAGAAAACACTCATTGATCTTCAGAATGAAATGAGATTTGGAACAATAATGGGAATGGCCGTCACCACAATGGCATGTGAAAGGTGCTGTTTAAAAAATCCGAAAAACCAGTTTCGCAACTTTACGCACTGCACTCTTTCCTTCTCTCCCTCTCCCCCCACTCCCATCCTCCATCCCCCTTTCCCCTCCCACCCCCACTCTTTCTATTTCCTTCTGCTCCCTCTCTCTCTCCCTCCCTTTCAGGAAACTGAAGTGTTCCCAACTTGAGCTCCAGCTGCACTTCCCAGAGTTGGGCATGACATGGGGGTAGGGGTTGCGGGGGGTGGGGAGCCTGGCCTCGGCCTCCCTGCCTGCTAACTTGCCCACACTGCTTCTACTCGCCCTCCTGCCTCCACTGCTGGGGCTGGGGGTGAGGCGGTGGGGTAAATGACCCTCATTTGCTGGGGCTAGATGCGTGCGGAGGTGGGGGGGGATAGGCGGAGGCTGGGGGCGGGGAGTTGAGAGTGGGTGGGTGGGAAGGAGGGAATCGCACTGCAGAGCCTCTCGCTAGAAGACTTTTGACAGTCTCCAAGCAGAAGTTGTCAGTGTGGGGCTGTTCTGCAAAGTTCAGAGGGAGCTTCTTGGATTCGGAACCAAGCCCTAGGAAAAGTGTTTGTGAAAGAGGGTCTGGTTTGTGCCCCTTCCTTCCTCCCTCGCCCTACTATTGCTGACCTTACCTCCCCAGCCTGCCCCCTACTTATCAGCAACCCTTTGGGGAAAGGAAACTGAGACCTTCTGCGCGCGCAGACACACACACACACACACACACACACACACACACACACACACACACACGCGATCAGCCGCTTGATTCAAACCCCACCCCCCCCTTTCCCTGTTTTGTGTCTCTCCTTCCTTTCCTTCCTACAGACCATGGTGAATCCGGGCAGCAGCTCGCAACCTCCCCCGGTGACGGCGGGCGCCCTCTCCTGGAAAAGGTGCGCCGGCTGCGGGGGCAAGATCGCCGACCGCTTCCTGCTCTATGCCATGGACAGCTATTGGCATAGCCGGTGCCTGAAGTGCTCTTGCTGCCAGGCTCAGCTTGGGGACATTGGCACGTCCTGTTACACCAAGAGTGGTATGATCCTTTGCAGAAATGACTACATTAGGTAAGCAGATGCTGTATGTCTGAGATCTGGTGGGGTGGGGAGTCCCGGGAATGCAAACGTGGGGTGGGTGGGCGGAAGCTGTACCTGCCACAATCATCTGTTGCTTCCTCACCATGTTTTCTGGGTGCGAAAGGACTGAAAGAAGAAAAGGAGGTTGAGTTGGCAGCAGGAAGAGAAGTTGGAATTGTTTGCTTTCTTGTTCCCTTTCTAGTTTTTATTTTAAATTAGCTGTGAACCCCCACGCTCTGTAAGAATGTGTCTTGGTGCCCAGCTTCAGGTTATTACTGGGAGGCCCAGGGGAAAGACCGTGGGGGCCCCCTGATCTCTTTCATGTGGCTGCCAGTCCAAAAGGAGTCCCCACTAAAAATAAACAAAAATCAAAAGGCAGTCTAATCTGCTTTCCTAAAGGTTGGGCAGTAGTATTTACAGAGAAACAACGGACACCCAGTTGACTTCAAAATAAAACTAGTTAAGGGGAAGTGACTTACCCATGGTGGTATCTGATTAATTATAATATTTACATAAGTACCTTTAAACTTTTTTGAGTGGAAAGAGAGTGACTCATTCTTTATGCTCCCTGTAAAAGACTGATTAACTATCAGTGTAAAGGCCTGTAATTCTGATTGTAGCCAAAGAATCTAGTAGTAATGTTTGTCTTTATACTGTTTGTTTGTTATATAGAGTCCAGGAACTTACAACCTTGTGTAGTTTGCAATGTAGAAAAGATTGATATTTCCTGAAGAAGAGGTCAAGATTTTTTTTTGTTTGTTTGTTTCTTTGAGGGTGTGGGGGCGTACCTACCACTGTGTGTGTCTCTGTGTGTGTGTGTGTGTGTGTGTGCACCTACCACCCTAGTTCAAACAAATTTGTGAAAAACCCAACTGTGAAATATGTTAATTTTGCATTCTTTAGTTAATGTATAGTAACATCATGATCTTTTCTAACAAGTTTCAGTGCAATTAATAGAAAGAATTCAGGAGGTTAGGTGCCTATAAGATCTTTTCAGGTGAACTCAAGCTCCTTAAACTCATTAATTTGAAAGGAGGCATTTGAAGGATTACACACATTTAATTTGAGTAAATGGTTTGATAGACTGATGCACATGAATGCTTCTAGGAGGTGTTCTATTTCAGCATCCAGTAATTAAAAAAATAAAAGACCATGGCTGGTATAAGAGAAATGGAGAGTTTTAGGATAAATTGCATTCTATTTAAATGTTTGGGGGTTTTAACTGGAAATGCCAAGTGTATTCTTAAGTATTTTCCCCTCCTCCTTTAATAGTTTATAGGAAAGTTGTTGCTTTTTCCTTTGCTTGTGGAGGAATCAGTTGGTTTATAATACCTTAAAAGTTTATTTTTGGAGCACTGGCCTTAATCTCCATTAGGTTTTGAAGGATGTAAATAGCATATATTGAGCATGAATAAGGAAATGTTCCTTCAGTTGTCATCAGTTTAAAACGATGGGGGTAATTGAGTTTTTATTTATTTTAATAATGCAACCTTTGGCAACACGCTTGCCTTCTCAATGTACTCAGAAGAAAGGAATATAAGAAGAAAAGGGTTTTATTTTTTAAAGGAAAATTGTAGTATAATAGTCACTAAATGTGCTTTCAGCAGTAAATGTTGGGAAATCAGCACATGAGGGGGGGGGTACAGTGTGGTAATGCTTTTCTGGTCTTCCATCCAAGCAACACCATAAGCCTGACTGTTGTAATTAAACAGAGCAGAACTGTGGATAAGAAGAGGTTTAGTTTGAAGTGGGGGGGAAAAGGGCACAACTGTTCAGATGCAGTGAATGGTGGTACAGTTTCATAACCCTCTAAAGTGGCAAACAAACCTTCCCTTCTGATTGTCACTAATTAAAAAGAGAAGATGCCTCCGGTCCATTTGAATTTCCCCAAGGCAAGTTCAGGCATAAGACTTATTTCATGGGGGCCAAAAATGAATGCCTATTTTGTTTTTCCGTGTTCTCTGCAATTACGAACAAGGAGTGTGATCAGCTTTGGGTGTTTCAGAATTGATGGCCTTCTTCCATCTTCTGACTTTCTCCCCTTTACCCTGGATCTGGATAATTGGACTTAACTTAGCATGTGCAGGAGTGAGGCATTCACTGAAACTTGAACTGCATCACTCGAATGAATATTTAGGAGATCTGTGAAGAACGTCGAAGTCTTCCATTTACTGAACTGAACTCTGATAAGTTTAGTCTTCAGCCTGCCACCCCATACCGAGAAGTCTAGGGACCTCTTCTAGCACCCACTACCCACCCACCCAAATTCCAGAATGGATCTGGGCAGTTTCAGCAAGGCTCTAGCCAGACCTGCTGGGGGTGGGGTTTGGGTTTGTTTATCTAGAAGTGACTTGACCTATACTTTTTTCCCCCTCTCCTTCCATTCCCCACCCCCCAGTTTGAAGAGCTGTCAGTTCCCTTATCCGAGGCCAAATCCATGTGCACAACTCTTAATCGGAGTCGCTGGGGGAAAATTAGACGTGAATAACAAAATGAAAAGCGGATTGATCAGCTAAAACGGCTGCCGCCAGGTGAAAGGGACTGGTGCTCTCCTGAGCGGGGGCTGGGACCACAGAGCGATTTATTAAGGGGCTTTTAAACTGTCTTGAGGTTGTGGCTTTTGAAAACGACCCAGATCTAGCTAAAAGAAGCAGATTCTACCTTCATTGGGTAAGCTGGAAGAGGCAGGCAAGCCAGCCGGGCCTGAGTGGGAAGGAAGGGGAACTAAAGTGGGGGGGGAGATGGATTACCTTGCTGACCCCTCTCCCCATCCCTTTAAGGGTAGGGATCCTTTGGGTGGAGAGTAACGACGGGGCTTCTGCCCTCACTCTCCAGATTTCAGATAAAGCTGCCGCAGCCCCAGCTCCAGCCGCCAGCAGCCGGGAATCCGCACACAATTAAAAGCTTTAATTAGAGGCTCCTCCATTTTCTCTTAGTTCTGATGGGTTTTATCTAATGAGATCTGGTCTCTGGCTTAGATCTGCTCAGAATGACGTGTCCGAAATGAATGAGAACCCCGTTGCAAACAAAACATTTAATTAACAAAATTGGCCTCTAAGAGAGGGAGGGGAAGTCTGGAGGGGGGGGCTGTTATTCTGGCGGTTCTTAAAGGGACCCAGGCCAACCTACTCTCTGCCTTTCCGCACCCCCCCCCCCGCATTTTTTGTTGGTCTTGATTTTTTGGAAACGCCCCCACCGTCTTGTGCAGCAAAGTTGCTTCTGGACTCTTAAGCTTCCCGGTCCCTTTCAGTCTCTCCTCTTTTCTCCTCCCTCCGCACCCCACTGTTTCCTCCTCTCTTGGGTCCTGCTGCTGCCTTCTGAGAAGGAAGTTAGTGGAGAGACGGGTGGGGCTTACGGGGTGGGGGAGGGAAAGGAAGTCCAACGGAAGGCTGTGTGTGGGTCCCAAGCTGTGTGGTTTGCCCGACTTCACCGGGCTTGCAGGCCGGTGAACTAGGCCAAGGTGGGGGGCTGGTGGTGCGGTGGTGGCGCGCGAGCCGTGTGCCCCGACGGCTGACTCTAGCTGCGCTGCTACTGTCGCTGCCGCCGCTGCTGCGGTGCAGGGCGGAGCGGAGCAGACGCCCCGGGCCTGGGGCGAGCAAAAGGGCGGGAGCTCCGCTGGAGAATAGCTATCGCCTCTCGCTGCTGCGTGCTCCCTTCTTTGCAATTCACGTGGCTCTCCGCAGCCGCAGTCTGCACCGTGCAGCGGGGCGGGGTAGGGGGCTGGGGGAGGGAGGAGACGGCAGCAACGGCAGCAGCAGCAGGGGGAGGGTGTTCGGAGGGGTGTGTGTCTGTGTGTCTGTGTGTGTTGGGGCTGGGGTTTGGGGGAGGGACAGTGGTGGTAAGAAATCTAGGAGCCCGCCAGGCAGGCGAGTTCATTTCCCTGGTAATCAACAGCAAGCTGCTATATTCAGAGAATGCTGTCCCTTTAATTGAACAGGCTAGGTAATTAAATGGCATTTTTCCAATAGGACGTGCTAGGTAAATCTAATAGTTGGTTATTTAATATCACTTTGAAGTCTGCCCACTCAAGCACAATGACAGCATAGGAGCATGTGAACTATTAGCTAGGAGAAAAAAAAACCCAGGATCTCAAAAATTAATTAAATCGCATGCAATTTAGGGGGAACGTTTATCTTGATTTGTCATAACAGAATTAATTCAAGGCCTCCAATTCACTTGGGGGCAGATCTGTTACTCTGAATTAACCAAGCGTAATTTGGCTGATTTTTTCCCCCTCTTTCTAATGCAGCACTTGCCATTATGCACAGCCCCCCTCTTAAGTATCAATAGCTTCTGGGGCTTTTAAGGTGCTCGGTCTCTAGTTATTCTGAAGTACCTTTAATGGACTTGGCTCCAGGCGTAATTTCTGTGTTGCATTTCTTTGTTACGATTTAATATAGCTAGTGCAGAATTTAGATTAAATACAGGAACTTGCAGGGACACCAATTGCTTTGGATCAGTAGCTGTAGATGTGCATTTTTCTCTTCTGATAGGTTGCTGATATATTTACTTGTAGGTAGGAACGTGTAGCGTGTTACCCCCGTTTGCCTCTCGGTTTAGGAAACACCTCCAGGAATCTCTTAATATTACATGTTTGCTCCTTAAAGTAGTAACATACTTGAAAATGAGCCCAGCTATTGGTCATCAGATTTCCAAGATGATGCTGAGATGTGATACCAAACTAAAAATAGGACTATCTTTTTCCCCTTCCTTCCTCCTCTTCTCCATCTCTTAACGTCATTGGGAGAGAGTTGAGGGCAGAGCTGACAAATAGGACCCAGCTACATGGGAGTTCTCCAATAAGAGCGAACCACCTTTAGAATGCAGGCTTGTGGGGCATTTCTCCTTCTTCGGCTTCTTTTCCATATAAGGGACCGCTTGATGTTTGTGATCGATTGTGTTGCCCAAATGCTGAAATATTAACGACCTTCTTGGACTGAGGACCCAAAGAAAGGAAACTGAAACCGATTCTGTCATCACAATTAAAGAGTCCCCTGGCTTTAATTAGCCTGACCTGGGGTATATCTCCCCGTAGCTTGAGTTAAAGAGAAAAGAGCCCATTAAAGTCCAGTCTGAGACCGATAGCTACTTAATTGAGCACCTAAAGCCTCGAGCCTTTTAAATCAAACACTGTCCTGGACAGTCCCCCTGGTTAGATAATTAACTCTCTAGCCTCACAGAAAAAAAAAAACTTTTCAGGGGGAAAAAAAAGTCGAGTTTCTAATAGTCGCCTTCATCCTGGGTGAAGGGGGAGAGGACAATGTGCCGTGTGTTTAGAGACATCAACCGGTAGGCTCTCGAGGCCTCCCTGAAACAAGAGCATGGAGCAATCTCCAACAGCATTAATATGTTGTTAAATAGTGCATTAGCCACTCGGAGATTTTAGTCATTTCCAAACTTTGTAACTATGATTTTCTACTCTTTTGTACATCATGTGATTGGGGATGGGGTGGGGTTGATTGTTCTCTGAAAGGTTATGGAGCCAGTGCTGGGGAAAATAAGATGTATGAAAAGCTTTTGGATTACATATGACTGCACGGATTATTAAAATACACTTAGCTGCCAAAGACGTGCAGCTGACTTTACTCAGGGTGAATTGTTAAATAAATGAACACTCAGGCAGCACAATCAGATCGGTGCTGGGAGAGTGTGTTTTTAAGATGGTGTGGTACACGTGAACCTGTTGGGGGTGGTGGCAGCCGTAATTACAGACTCTTGTTCTCAGAAATACTTATAGAGAGCTCATATTCATCATAAGAGGATATTTGGTCCTCCGTGCTAGTATTCTGTTTTCCCAGTCACTCCCCCACCCCCCAATCTCCTTAAGTCCCCAACGTCCATTTTGCCACACTGACAGGTTTTTAACTTTTTGTTGTTATTACTTAAACTCTTGTTCTTTTCTGTTCTTTTTGGGGGAATGGAGGAAAACTGGTCATTGCTCATACTTTCCCCCAGCGCTGTTTCTCTTCTCTGCCCACCCTGTTCTCCAAACTTTGTGGTGGTGACACCCAGAGCCTAAGAAAATCCAGTGCTGGGAGATGGAGGAGGGTGGGCAAGGGAGGGAAAGAAGGAAAGAAAGAAAAAACCCAGTAGGATTTCATCAATAATCCTGAAGTGGTCAAGCTTTAGACCCCAACCATCTCAGTGGCCCCAGAGCTTCCAGGCACTGCTGTCCTTTGGCTGGAGGTCCTGCCTTCCCTTTGTAACCATTCCTGATTCTGCAAGAACGTGTCAATGTGTCGTGCATCTCAGACTAATTAGTTTTGAAATGGAGTTTTGATTGAACTCTTCAAATCGATGCTGCTGCAAAATTTGTTTCTCGGTCTTCCTATTAAAAGCCATCTTAAGGGGCAGTTTTACTACTCTCCCTGTCGTTCAGTCGATACATTTAATAACAACTTACAGGCTATTTTCAATAAAGTGGCGACAGCAAATTAGTAGTTTGAACATGACAAGCCTCCTCTGCAAGACCAGATTCTGAAAACTCAAAGCAATTATTTTTTTATACAGAGGCATGCTGCAATCATTCAGATTACGAGTATTCTATAGGAACACGTCTTCGAATTTTGACACCAGCAGAATTTTATGACTTTATTTGGACAAGGAGGAAATGCAAATATTAATATTTATTATGACACATACGTTAATTTGTAAATCCTGGTGACCCCATTCTGAAAGTAGGTCTGTGACCCTGCCCACTTGTTCTGATCCTCACCTTCCACTATGGAGTCATTTGGGTTTGATTAAAAAAAAATGTGGATCTTTAAGAAGGAAGGATCAAAAGAAATAAAATGCTAGCCTTGTGGATGCTCTCTGAAAGTGGAAGTTCAGTCTTCGTTTAAAATCTCTTGTTGTGCCTTTAAACACATTTAGAAAATTATGTATCTCTTTTCACTACACTCGACTTCCTTGTACTCTTCTCCCCCTCTCCCATAGCCTTTTCCCTCTTCCCCCTCCCTCCCTCTCCCTCTCTCTCCTCTCCCCCCCCCCATGGCAGATGTTGTGGTCTCATTTGATTGCATAGGAAAACTGCAGTGATACAGCAAACACCCAGAGAGATATGATGACAAATGGGTCCAGATCCCGGTAAATTACTTTCTGCTCAAATCGAAATTTCATTCAGTTTGTTGCTAGCAGAGATGAAGTAATCTAAATTGTGGACTCAGGAGCAGATAGAGGGAAGTTGGAGCAAGCATTTCATTATCAAGAGAGAGAGAAGGTTAGGATGAAAGAGATGAGCAGAGGCAAATCTTAAGTGTTGACACCATGATTGAAAAGGTTAACCCGTACACATTATATATCAACCTGGATAGCAGAGAGTTTCTAATGGAAACTCTTCCCTGATGGAGGTTTACTGGAGTTTCAATACACTGAGCATGATGTCTTCTTAGATATACAATCAAATCCTCTTAACCCTTTTGATGACTCATATCTCAAGATATGATTAAAGTACAAAAGAGTTCTTCATATAATTTCAAGGACACAATGCATTTAAACTCCCGTCATGAATTGTATCCTTTCTTTTTTTATGATGAACTCAGTAATCTGATAAAAATGTGTGTAGTACAGAATTCTTTTGTATTTGCTAGAGGTGTAAGTCAATATTTTTGATTAAATCTGGTGCTTCTTCTTCCTGTGTGGTGGGCAGAAGTTAGTCAATCCCTTCCCCCAAAATGGGTTTCCTGTTTGATGTAAATCAGTTGCAGAACTCTGAGGCTTGTGCCTCAAAAAGAACTTCGAGTAGGGCTGGAGAGTAGGGAAGGATTTGGTCTGGGATCTGGGGGCAGAGATCTTTGACGCAGCTGAAACACTCATGGTTGCCATCACCTTTGTTTCAGGTTATTTGGAAACAGTGGGGCGTGCAGCGCTTGCGGACAGTCCATCCCTGCCAGTGAGCTCGTCATGCGGGCGCAAGGCAACGTTTATCATCTGAAGGTAGCGCTTGGCTCCCCTCTCCTCCTCCCTCTGGCTGTTGTATTTCATTGCGTTCTTATCGGGGTACTCACCTAGTATACACTCTGCTCATCCCTGTATACTGTGACTAGCAAGGGAACCCTTCAGAATAGTAGAGCGCATGAAGGTATTTTCCTCGGGAGGGGTCTCTCTTTGTGATTATTACATGCTTGGGCACACAACGTACACATCCATTGAAGTGGGGCTGATACCCCTGGCAATGGCCTATTAGGAAAAAAAAAACCCAAAACCTTAAAACTCAAGTGTTTTTCTGTACTTGGTAGACACCCCCATCTTGTTTGGTGGCTCCAGACTTGGCCTGAAAAGGCTTCATTTTACACCTGTTTCCAATGATTTTTATCTTTCCTCACAGTGTTTTACGTGCTCTACCTGCCGGAATCGCCTGGTCCCGGGAGACCGGTTTCACTACATCAATGGCAGTTTATTTTGTGAACATGATAGACCTACAGCTCTCATCAATGGTCATTTGAATTCACTTCAAAGCAATCCACTACTGTCAGACCAGAAGGTGAATACCCAACAATTACTAATGAGCTTTCTTAGGGCAAGGTGGGACAGCTTGCCTCTTCCAACCTTGAGTTTTCTAGGCTGTGGTTTTCTTTTGTGTCACCCTTGTAAGAGACACAGATGAGATCCAGGTTTGGTGTTCAGAAACAGGGTGACCAGATGCAAATACTCTTAGGTGGAGAGATACCTGTTAGGGAAATCTGCTTGTCTTAATTTGGTTTTAGCCTCAACTGGCCCCTGGCTTGGGGCATGTAAAACCAAGCCCAATATGAAACTTACTAATCACCAGATCCTATTGGATCCTTTGGAGATGCATAGTCATGGGAGGAGAATTAGAACCTTAATTTTTATAAACAGGACTACATGTCTTTGACATGAAGAAAGAGTCCTGTATTGCTGGTTGAAATCTAGACACCTGCCATCCCTCCTCCAATTTGCTTTGGATTTATTTTTAGAATAGCAGTTTTACAAAACATACTGTAATACCGGAGGAGAACATTTCTGTTGATTGGTAGGCCCATAAATTTGAATAAGTTATGACATTTAAAACAAAGTTCTTAGTCTCTCCAAGCTCTCTGCACCACTAATGGCGCCATTAAAGATTATGTATCTCTCTTTCGGATCCATAACTTGAAAGCCTTTGGACCATACTTATAGATGAGTAAATTATATACGGGTACAAATTATGGCACATTAGAAGGCATTTCAGAGGGAAATGTTCCGATCAACAGTTGTCCAGCACCCTTAGAACTGGATAGTTTGAGATCTATTTTAATCTCCTTAATAAGTCTTACAGCTATGCAAGCGAGTGCATTTTGATAACCGCTGTGCTTAATTTGTAACAATTACTGTCAACCTTCAGTTAAGAGACTGTTCATTCCACACTGGTCCAGAAAAGAGTGAAATGTATGAGTCTCACACATAATTTTATTCACATCATATTTCATACTGATTATGTATTGATGACATTGATTCATTTACTCTTTACAGTGCCACTTGCATGGATATTAAATCTTATTGACCACAGATGAATTTTAATTTCAGATTGGTGATAGATTTTTCCATCAGCTCTGATAGTCTATTTGACTTTTTCATCATTAACCCAGGCAATCGCACAGGACTGAGTTATTGCATTGAAACAAAAAGCGCACACTTCACTTGGTAATTCTTTATAGATTTACAATAGGAACTTCATTAATGTCTGTTGCAAGGATCACGAAAAATAACATTTATCTGAAAAGAGGAATTCAGCAAGCTTCAAAAGTGTGGGGGGAAATAGTAGGTTTCTTTGTCTCCTGTAACTTACAAAGGCAAATGCCAAGGACTTTTTCTTTAGAATGCAAGGAGGTAATGCCAATTTTTTTTTTTAATTTAAATTTTAACTACTAAAAATAAAAGTACCATTATAGTATAATGGCTTTATATTTTCCCTCCCCCCACCTAAGTTATGAACAAAATTGAATTAAAGCTCTAGTCTCTGCCTTGGAAAGCAAACATTAACAAACTGAGTAAATAAAAGTATTTATATTACAATGTCAATTAATCAAGGAAACTCAATAGCATTTTAGCTAAGTACAAAAGTCCTAATTTCTTGTTACTGTAACTACTTAATAATGGCAAATAGATATCAAAGCCATCCCTTCAAGGAAGTACAAATACATGCCACAATTCATAGATTTATATGTTTGTGAATTTTAATGAAATAAATTTAGAGTGCAGACTTACCAGAGCAATGAATCTGTTAAATGAATACTTGTAGAGAGTCATTTCAAAAAAGAGGTAAAGTCATTCCTATTTATACAGAGTAGTGGAAAAAAGTGCAATGTGCTTCAGGAATCAAAAGGTTGATATCTTCTTTCCCTCTCCTGCCATAATATAAAAGTTTAATTTTTTCTTTGAATGGGATCTTAAGTTTGTCACTAGTTTTAGCCCATTTCTTTCCTTGGCTTTAGCAAAGCATAAAAATGATTGTGAAAGCTTCACCATCATGCACGGTGAAGAAGGGAGCAGGTAGAGAAGATATGGAAAACTGGACCAGGCCTGTGAAGCGGGTCAGAGTGTGGCAGCCCCATCGCCAACCAAGCACTGTGTGAGAGGACACTTAAGAGAAAAAGAGAAGGCCTCAGTGTTGATTTCCCAGCTTATTAAACTGCATTCATCCACACTCAGTGAAGTAGATGAAGAGTTTGGGAAGGAAGAGGGACAGTAGCTAAGAAGTGTGGCTTTCTGTTAGATATTTCTGGATAGCATCTTTTCCTATGAAATAGGATATATACATATATAAGTACATCTACATACACATAGATACACATTTGTATATTTCTGGATAGCATCTTATAAAGTAAGATATATACATATATAGACACACACACACACATATATACACACACACCTACATATACATACACACATATATGTATATGAATGTATGTATGTATTTCTGGATAGCATCCTTCCTGTTTTCCACACTTGGCATTGGCAGGAAAGAAGACTGGGGGATCCTTCTTTTGGACAACAGAAACTACTTCAGTAGAAAGAACCTAATCCTAGCAATGTACCTGTTTCAGCCTGGGAAATAGAAAGGCCAGACAGGGGGTCCCAAATGGTAATAGCACTTCAAAAGCATAAGGAAAGATACTTTTAAGATACGTGCTTCTTAGATACGTTCTGAAAAGCTGCCTGTTTTAGGGCTGATTAAAGCCATTTCCCTGTTAATAGAATTATCTTACATTTTGGCCTTCTGTGTTTTGTGAACACAATCAGTTTACTAGGTGGCGGTTCCATAGGTGATCGTTTGGTTAGTAGATATTACTACTAGTAATAACAGTGACCAGTGTTTATATCACACTTTAAGTTCGCAAAGCACTTCACATACATTAATAAGAAAGTAAAGGAGAGGGTGTTCATGAATTCTTTTTTGTAAATTTAACTTCTATAGCTTCTCTTTTTTTCAGAGGTAACAGCCTAGTTATAGATTTCTTTATTCCATCACTAAATTTACCATATAGAAAAATAGCCATTTTTATTTTGTCGTAGACTATAAGTCCAGTTACATGTTGAACACATATAATACACATGCAAAACCTACCTATAATTCCACTGATAGAGTGTATGTGTGTGTGTATACGAACATACATATATATAATAAGCTGATTATTTCAACATTGTCTTTTTAAAGACTGCTTATTAAATAGAAAACATCAACTTATTTAGCCCCTTTAAAGTTCTATCTTGTTATAAGATCTGTCCACAGGGTTTGTAATCTTTTTTTTTTTAGTTCCAATGTAATTCTGCATCATTGATTGTGTGTTCTAAGAAAAAGAATTTCAAGGCTCTAAATCGGATGCCTCCTCTTAAGTGAAATGTCACAGCACTAGTGTGTCTGGACCTAAAAAAAAAAAGGAAAAGGAAAAAACCCTGTAGGCTGTATCATTTAAAGGAAGCTTAGTTATCCTCAGGAGAACATTTATAGCCTGTCTATAGGGCCAAATAAACACACTCAGATACCTTCCATAGTGTTTGTAAATCGCTGCCTGTTACCCGATTCCCCCTTCCATTTAAAAGTGAGGCTATCAGACCATTGTACTGAGCACCAACTTATCTATACTTTTTCAATAAAACGGGAGTTAGATTTCATCCCTCCATTCACTTAGAGGAAAATTTAGAGTCTGCTTGTTTCCATATCACTCAGCAATTCTCTTGTAGTTATATAATTGGTGGCGTGCGGGTGTGTGTCCATCGTGGAGGACACTGGATGCTCATTTATTAAATATGCTTCCTGGCTGCTCCCTAATCTTTGTTCTGGACAGACAAATTACCTTTCTCACACTGAGCTTCAACTCTGGGGATTTCAGCCTCCACCACTTTAATTAGCTGGAAAGTGGGGGGTTGCCGTTACTAATAGACCTCAGGCTTTTAGTAACTTAGTCAAAGGGTGAAAAGAAAACTTCCTGGGAAGCTCAAAATGTCATTTAAAAAACCATGAAAACCTAATATATATTATTTCATTTTGGTAATTGCAAACAGATTGTATTTGAAGACTGTGCGGATGATCATTTCCAACTTCCCCATGAAAGTCGAATTTCTCTTGAGCTAGGCACTTTTAATTATCGCAATTCATTAACACATCAAGTGTAGAAGCACATGGGTTTGACTTCATGTATTGCCATGTTTATGTAACATTAAGTGACATAGCAGATGAGAAATCTGAATGGAATAATCATATACGTAGGTCATTAGAGATGAAGCTTGCTGTAGCTGTAGACGTAATATCTGGAGCCATCATAGTGGAGGGCAAGGCATCCTCTGTCATTATTTTTCAAAAAGGGGAGCCCACTCTTATCTAGTTTAAGCCATTCCTCGGAAAGGACGGCACTCTTCTGAAACTTTCTGAAAGTCCCATTTCTTGTCTCATTTTCCCCGCTAGTAAAACCTGTCTAAAATGTTATGCCTTCGCTCTCCAGCGCCTGAGTAAGTAGCGTAGAAAGCTTCAATCAAGTCACAGTTGGAAAGTAGTCTAATAAAAGGGGATTAGTGAATGTGGAGAAGACAAAAGCAGTCGTGTTTGAGTTTCCTATCTCTCACATTTAGCGTTTTGGCTAAGATGCCCATTTTTTATTTCTTCCAGGTCTGCTAAAAGGTCAGAGTAATGCAGAATGCGTGCCTTCATCTCAAATTTTGTTCATCCCAGATGGATCCTGTGTGTCTCCAGTAGACAAGTCACCTTTGTAGCTAGCCCCAGCGCCAGCTTCATACCACTGCACCTTCTTTATTCCTGATTGCCCTTCCCACATTTATTGGTGTATTAAAATGACTGAATATGAGCATTAAGGACTCCATGAACCTGGGCTAATGGGAGACTGTAGAGAATATGAAAAAAAAAAAAGATCCACCGGAGAGGAGGGGGCTAGGGTGGGGGGGTTGGGGGGGGTGGGAGGGAAATGACTAATGAAGCTAATTAAAAGAAGCGTTCAAATCTGCTTTCTACCCTCATTAACAATTAGCAGGGCACTGGCCGGAGTTTGTACCCTGTGTTTTTCCTTAACAACATTCTCTTTGCTCTCTGTATATTTAGGTGTCGTAAGGAAATGTGTTTCAATCCAAACTGAACCATGAGATAAAGGAAAGAGATGTGGCTTTTGTGATGCTCAATCACACAAACACTTTTATTGTATCTCTGTAAAATACAATGTATGTATGCATGTAAGTGTTTTTTGTCCTAATGTTGCTACTTCCCATGGCAAAAAAAAAAGGAAAAATTGGAAAAAAAAAAAGTCAGGCTCATAGAAGCTACTGTGTAGAAATTCTGCCCCCCCTTCTAATTTGCTGAATGAAGACAAATCTTTTATTTGTGATATTTTCAGAGACATTTGCTCTAGTATGGTGTATTTAAATAATAAAAACTTAAAAGGAAAATACGAAACCGTGTTTGGTTTTAAACACTTCTTTTTTGTCCTGTATTTTGAAGAGTTTTTGGTTCTGGTGCTTTGACTGCAAGTTCATTTTATTTATTTTGGGTAGGAGAGGTGTCATCTGTGTTTCCGCACTCTGCCAATAAGGCTTTCTTCAGACTACTTCACCATGTCATCTCTAGCAGAAGTACAGGGGTAAAGGCTTCAAACAGTGTTTTTCCCCGTTCAGAATATTAATTCTTATAATAGCAAACATCTCACTACATTCTCCCATGTAGCAATGAGGTTCTGTGTGTGGGTGGGGGGGGGTATAGTGCACACATATATAGATATAGATATATATTTATCAAATATTCATTATCTGACTGCTTCAGCTCCTCAGCCCATTTCCACTTGGAGAATACTGTATACTGATGAAAAGCATGTTAAAGCAAAAGGCCTAATGACCAATGTCTATCTTTTCTTTTCTCTTACCCAGTTTATGGTTTTTGAAGGAAATAGCATCTCTAAACCTTTCCAGGTACCTGTTTGCAGGTTCTGTTAGCTGACAGGAGCCCAGAGCTCATTTGATGGCCATCTTCAATGGGGGAAGAAGCCATTTCCCAGTGAGTTTTGAGTACCGATATGGTCTATAGTGTGATCTGTTTATTTTGTTTTTTCCTATGATTGCCCCTCTATTCCTTCCTTGTGCCTGTCCCCTCTTTTCCTCTCTCTCTGCCTTCCCATATGTTTGCAGAGGATTCAGGTTTCATCTGGTCATAGGCTTGTGATATTTGTTTACTAGTTTTGAGACAGCCCAGTATCCACCGTGGTTCCCTCAACCCCTTTAGAGATGCCCTGGGGAAAGAACATTTTGGACGACCCAGTAGGCACATGTCTAGTGCCTGGAGAGAAATGGGGAGAAAACTGGGCACCTCGAGACATTGCTGCTGTGGGGCGTTGGATGAATTAACCATTAGCAAATCTCACGACTTTTTATTGCAGACCAATAAAATGAAGTGTGTTGATACTTAGACTTTCGATTTCCTTTTTGCTTTTAAAAATAATATTTATTTTGTTTTATCTGCAACTGGGAAAGCTCCTGATACATACACTGTCTGTGGTGATACAGATAGACTACCTAATTGCAGAAGTTGAGCTCTGCATGTCTAAAGCTAACTGCCGGTTTCCCTTTGAGGTCTCCTGCTTTGCTGTCCACCAAGGCCTCACTTGGTACTTTCCACATTTCACACTGGGAGTGGAGGCCTGGTGGTGGTGGTAGGGGGTCATTCTAAAATGAAGCATTCTATAAATAGGACAAAAAAAGATGGCCGTCACACTACTTCAGCCTGGTGAGCTTTTTTCTAGGAAGAAGTTAAAAACAGAAACGCCATAGATGTTTGAATTTCTAGCGTTTGGCAGTTTCTGGTCAAGAACCTGGCGGTAAAGGAATGGTTTCTTTGATTAGTGCTTTCAAAAAATTATTCTTTAGGATCCTGGCTAAAGGTCCTTTGACTCCTGAGGATTCTGTAGGAACAGAAAGTGTTAGTTGAATTACAAGTGCCTTCTGTCCTCCCTCCTTCCTGAGCATCCCCCCTCCTCCCCCTGCATTTCCCACAGCTTTTCAGTTGTCCGATCTAACCTAGAAATACTAAGAAGATGGTTAATAACTTTGAGTAAGTAATGTAGTCGGGCATTTAGTGATTTAGAGGTCTAAGTTCATTAAAGACTTTAAATGAACTATTATATACAGCGGGCTTCTGAAGCCCTGCTACCTATTTAATAACAAGCTTTTAAAAGCATTTCTTAAGTTGCAGACCTCTAAGATTACAAATGTCACTCATGTTCATATAATCCACATAGCAAGCGATGAAGCCTTGGCTTTGATGTGCTAAATTGGAGAAGGCCTAATGGAGCTATGAATATACAATAGAGAATATTTAAGTAGTAGTCTTGCTTTAGGTAAAACACTTCCTTGAAACCAGAGGCATTTCAAACAATAAAATGGGCCCTAATGGGGATGCTCTGGGTGGATAGAAAGCTACTGAAAACACTTAGGTTTATTTTTATGAGAACAGGGATGGGGTAGGCAGCTTTTTCTCCCCCTCACCAACCTCCTGCCTTGAAACACCGCTTGAAAGAAGAAGGAAAAAAAAAAAACAGTACATGGACATATTCACCTTTTGTCCACTGCGTTTGTTATATTATTAGTCTGTGAAATGTATGCTGTTCTTTAAAAAAGGCTTATTTCATATTCATTGTACCATAGAAGGAAAATGGCTCCCAAGTTCCTAACAGCAAGTGCCGTTAAGAATCAAGGGCAGCCCTCCCTATGTGACAGCACCCCACTGAACTCCGGATTTTTTTTTAAATTATGTTTATGATACATATGAATGTCTCAATCATGCAAATTGTCACTCGTATTAATGAAACCATTTTGTAAAGAGATTGCCCTCTAAAAAGGGTTTAATGTTTTTACCTATCCAGCTGTCTAGTTATGAGATTTACACATCCCGGAAGGCATTGGGATGTTGAGGCTTTCTGAATCAAGTTGTTTGCCACGAGATACTGTATTTCCAGGCCATGGTGATTTATCACAAACTATCGGAACCTATTCTGTTAGTGTCTTGTGAAACATAAAATGAGAAAACTGTCGTGCCAGAATGAAGCCCCATGAAATTAGGTCGTTTTCAGGATATTAACTGTGTTTACAACCTATCTCCCTGTTAGTGCTTATGACAGGCATCACGTCATAGTGGCTGGAGGGGAGGCTTGAGAGTGGGGTAGGCCCAGGTTCAGGTCCTTCCTCTGCTGTGTGCTCAGGGTAAAGTCACTTGGAATGCTAATGACCCAGGTAATTCTCTGGACTGATTTACAGAGCCGATGCCCATTTGTATCAGTGGACGGAGGCCTTAGCCTGGGAGTTCTCCCAACACACAAACAATATCATACGTCGGTATAAAAATAAATAAATACATAGGAATGATATTTGCAAGGACTGATCATTCAAAATGAAACCCCTCAATAAAATGGCTTCAGGCGCTGCTGTCACAGAATTTTAAGGTGTTCCTCTAGATGGCACAGTTGATAGAGTGCAGAGCCTAGGATCAGGAAGACTCATCTTTCTGAGCTCAAATCTGGCTTCAGACTAGCTATGTGACTCCGAGCAAGTCACTTCACCCTGTTTGCCTCAGTTTCCTCATCTGTCAAATGAACTAGAGAAGGAGATGGCAAACCGCTCCAGGATCTTTGCCAAGAAAACCCCAAGTGGGGTTACAAGGAGTCAGATATGATTGAAATGACTCAACAAGAAGTATTTATATGTAACATATTGCCATAAGTGGTAGGCACTTTGATGGTTACAAAGTACTTTACACAAGATCATGTATTTGGAGATGGAAGAGATTTTTAAGGTCATCTAGTCCAACTGCCTTATTTTACAGATGAAGAAATCGAGACTGTGACATGTTAGGTGACTTGCCCAATGGTAGATAGCCAAGCCTGGAATTGAACGAAGGTCTTATAGCTCTCCAATCCATCACTCTTTCCAGTGTAGCCTGAATCCTTCTACCCATTATCCCTTTTAAAAACTACAGATAATTCACGTAATAAAAGAAGGAGCCATAGGATCATGAATTTAAAGTTGGAATGGACCTTTGAGGTCATCTAGCCGGAACCCTCTCATTTTATAGAGTTAAGGAAACAGTTTCAGAGATGACTTCTCCAACATCACCTAGGATGGCTACTGTCCAGCTGCCATCTACCAGTGTCTGGTGAAGGAGCTCTTCCTGTGTTCTAGCTTGTCCCTATGAAATTAAGGAAGTGATAGAGAGCTCACCATCAGTTAGCTGAAGCCTCATCTACTCTGAAGCTGTCCCGGGTGCCTAGGCTGAGGTTGCTGGGACCTCAAGGCTACCGCTGGATGTTACTTGTCACTTTGTTCCCAATACTTTGTCTATATTGTTAGTTCAGCCAAGTCACAGAAATGCTCATTGTAGTTAAATAGCAATTTGTTTCCATGAAACTGCAATTAAAGTATTACTGAGCAGCCATTTTAGATTGGCAGGGCTCTGGGTGAATGTTAAAAAGCAAGCCGCTTCTTACTGGCTCTGAAGCCCAGGGTCCAGAGCCGAGGAGGGAAAAGTGCAGCCCATCTGCCTGAGGTCCAGTTAAGGAAGAAGGCACGTGGCTCTTCCATGAGGGCCTCTCATCTTATTGTCAGCGCGCAGAGAGGACAAGTCAGGGCTGATCTGTTCAAGCTGCTGTAACAAGTCACCTAAAACTTTGACCCATTTTCTGTTGTATCAGAAGGGCCTTTTTCTGATAGTTGGAGATGTGTGCATTTTCCTAGAGGGGATGTTTTCAAGTCAGATTGATTCTGTGGAGAATGGACTACAAGTTGGAGGCCTCAAGCCAATAATGTACTACAGGTCCTGACATGTTACAGCTGTGTAAACAGGGCCACTGTATCTCTTAAATCACTCCTAATAAAGCATAGGACAAAAATCCATTGATTCTGTTA